TGTTACAGACCTTTAGTTCAGTGGGACGTATCTGTTAGAACTTTATATTATTGTGTCTTGCTTGGAGTAATAGCTGCTGGATGAGTATTGTATCTAGCGTTAGGGGGAAAACGTTATAAATGTGTGGTCTTTTTCCATTTCGCTTCTCATAACGACCTTTAACAGTGTTGATCCATGATAATACCCCTGCCTCGACATTAGCGCATAGCTTATTATTCATTGATGTAATATTGCAGATTGGTCCACTACCCATGGGACGCTACTCTGATACAACATATGGGGTGTTTTTTCCCCATTCTGAAGAGAAGGAGTTTGTCACCTGATGTTGTGGAGCTCGTTACCTCTAGAAACAATATTGCAGGAGTTCCATCTGTCCTACGGCCCACCAGCAGCAGACGTGCTCCATGAGGCATCTCAGTTGTGCGGCCTACAGGGACTGCCGGTGGGTTCTCATAAGGAATATCATCCATGTAGGGTGAGGTTCTAAATTGCTCTTGTGGACGGGCTCCCCCTTATTGTCCTCAACCCTTTTTACCCCCACGTTCCCGTTTATCTAGTATATGCTGGGAGAGCATGGGATCTGGGCGTTGCGAATGGGGAGGGGCCATAATTGCTGCCTTATGAGAATGCTTAGAATGTCCATTTTCTATTGAAGTATTTGCTTACTGTATATAGTTGTTTTATTCTTTTATGCTCAGTGTCTTGATGCCTACCTGAATTTATGATGTTTAGGAGAAGGGGATGCCCTGGAAGGGGTTCAGGCGCTGGGCTTGTGGAACCTATGCCTTCGGGTGCTGCTCCCAGGCTCCTTTCGATGCTTATGGATGGTGGGAGGTTGGGGGTTCTGTATAACTATCAATGTCTGTAATATTTGTATTTGAAGAGATGTTGGCATACTTTTCTGTATTACGATATATATTTTGACTGTATATGTTAATTATGTATTGGATCGCCTGATTGTAACTGACATGACTATTGATGACCGTCATGGAAAAAATAAAGAATTTAAAAAAACAAAACAAAAACAAACTAGAATTTGCGCTATTTGTTTCTTCAACCATAATTTACCTCTTTCATATTAAGTGCACCGACACATATATTATATATCATTATGTTCAGGAGATATAGGTCTTTTCACATCTAATATTTATATATAAACCAGAATTCAATATGACATGGCATGAATGTCATAATACCGTTTGCTTTTAATGCAATAAAATACACATATTTCTATGCTCCGAGTACAACAGTACCCTCCATGTACAGGTTTTATAGGGTGAAAAGTTATATGGAAAAATGAAGGGCTTGCCCATTTTCGTTTTTACACATTGAAATTTGCCAGATTGGTTTGCTAGGCCTATGTTGCCTTTGAGACCGTATGAAAGCCCATGAATGAAAATGACCCCTATCATGGCATACTGTCAGCAAAAGTAGACAACCCAGAGTATTCAAAATGTTGTATGTCCAGTCTTTTTTAGTAGCCACTTAGTAGTCACAAACCCTGGCCGAAGTTTTTGTTCATATTTTTGCATTTTTCAAAAGTAGGCAACCCAGACTATTCCAAATGGTGCATGTCGAGATGTTTAGCCACTTTATCATGAATACAGGCCCCATTTAGTGGTTATACTCCTATTTTTGTTTTTTTACACATATAAATTCCATTTTCACAGGACATTTCATAACCCTGTTGAGCATTAGTGTAATAAACCCTCAGTATTTTTACTTGGCCTTGTCTCAAAAAAAATAAAAACGTTTTCCCTTTGTTTGCGGCTGTGCTTTGGAGTTTCCCTCCAGGTTTTGTATTCTTCTACGGTAGGGTTGTCCAAAAGAAGCCCCCCAGCTTTTGTAGCTGTACGGCTGGAAAAGCTTAATGGGAGTGGAGGGGGAAACTACACCTTGTCCAGCCTTGTTCTACAGAGTTAATGTCTCAATTTAAGAATAATTTCTTAAATCTTTAATTTGTACTCGAAAGGTAGAAAGCAATTGATTGCCTCTCGGTAAAAGAGTTTCTCCTCTCCTTTTATGCCTTTACAGCATAATATTCTGGATAGCTTTTTCTCAGCTATGGAAGGAAATGAGACTGGCACTGGCCAGGATCACAGCATGACCCCCTGTATTGAACCGGCAGATCTGATTTATTATACAGATGGAGGGGGGCAATGTGCCAAACAATCCGTTTAAACAGAAATAGAATATTGTACAAGACGAGAGAAGCAGACATACATGGAACGTTAGATTAAAGGAGACCAGTAAACCCTGGCTCTTGGCCACTTTGCTCTGTTAGTCTGGATTGCTTCTGCTGGAAAAGGCTGATTAATGACAACTAATGGAAGTCTAGCAGATTGTTCCGACATCCATACTGTAGGCATAACAATATATAGTCTCTTCACTCTAAGGAATTTGATATTCTAGTACCTGAGGGTAGATGAACTAAGATATGATAAATTCCTTTGCTACGGTACAGAGAATTTATAAATTCCTTTCCCTATTAGTACATAGAGTCTAGAACAGTGCCCCCCCTCAGATGTTTCTCTTGCTATTCAGCGAGTCTTGTGTGATGTGATACTGTGAGAACCCAGACAATGTACATGCATATGCAAGGTTAAGACAATTTGTGTGCATGTGAATGTTTAAGACAGTATACATTTGCTTAAAGGAACCCTCTAAGCACCATAACCAAAGCAGTCTGCTGTAGTGGTTGTGGTGCCCACAGTAAGTAGTCAAGCTGTTTTGTACTTTTTTTTTTTCCACAACTTTCCTGGGTTCCAGCTGGTACCTGCAGCTCAATACCCTACATTGGGTCTTCTTAATTAGGAGATTCTGGGTAGCTCTACAGAGCTAAGCAAAACCACGCTTGATCGTGTCACCTGATCACTGAGTGTGGTCGTGTTTCAGCTGTGCTTAGCGCTACAGAGATATTTGGCTTCATCTTCAAAAGAAGAATGGATGTGGTACGGCACCCAAGGAACCCTAATAAGTTGTTACTGTGTTCTAAAACAGTTTGACTACTTATCATGGATGGCCCACCTGGCACCATAACCAGTAGTAATTAGGGCGCTTGGAGTGTTCCTGTAATAATCATGATGTACGTTATCCAGATTTTGTAATTAATACGTTCATAGAAAATGGATGGCTGAAAGCAAGAGAAATGACCAGGTATTACCAGGTGCAGAAATAATGGGAGAACTTGTCCGGAAGTCAGTGCAAACTGCATGTACGTGCACACGCAATGATCGTCGTGTTCAGTGTGTGTGTGATGTCACATACCCTTGCGGCCTTTTTACGTTTTGTATAAGAGGACATTGACTGGCTGACCGTTTGTCAGCCACTTCCCTGTTATACAACTCGTGAAAAGTCTGCATAATGTATTAAAAATAATGGGGGTCATTCCCAGACGTGAGTGTGCCTTTACGGCTTGTAAATGTTAATAAACAACTGGGGCAGCAGTGTCTGTACTTTAGAACATAATGCAAAAACTGAAGTACCCGCTAAGTTATCACCCATCTTTCCCCTCTGGTCAGATAATTTGGATATGATCCAAAATCACAAATACGGGGGAAGTCAGAATGAAATGACTGTTTACACGTGGGCAGCGCTACACAGAAAAGGAAATTTACAGTAGAGAAGGCTAATCCTGTTTTTATTAATCGTTTAAGGCCACTAATGCATTTGGGTTAGTGAAAACTAATGCTTTGTAAGTGACTCAGCCGCCTGAAGTATATTAATCTGTCTGGACCTGACAGGGTCACTGAATTCTCCAAAAAAGGGTACTATTACTACATTACTTTCAGGACACGTGACATTTTCATGCGTTTGGACAGTGCAGAAAAACACTTCTGGTGGTATGAAGCATTCGTACGCTGCAGGGGCAAAGACAATTAAAACAGCATTCTAAGCAACGTAGCATGAATGGCAGAAACTGGCTGAGAATGATGGCGATAAGAGAAAATAAGAGGGAAAAGTAGGAGAATTATAGCAATGGGAGAAATCTAAAAAAAGGAAAAGTTGGAAAACTGAAAAAGAAAAAAAAAAGTTTAACAAATTGTTCTACTAGTTAATGTTAATCAGAACGTAAAATAGTCATATCTTATTTTAATTTCAACACCCACAACACATGTATTTATTTTTCATCTGTGATGTGTAGTACAGTCCTACAATTATATATAATATTCCCGGAGCAATGCACTCAGAGGACTTGGTGTCTTGTGCAATAATATATATATTTTTTTTGCACAGGTGGTATAGTAAACATTTCAAACCTCCTCTGACTATTTCAAGACCTGGTTGTCAGAGAGGGATTGAAAAGTCGACTGTACCACCTTTGCACAATAAAGGAAAGTATTATTGCACAAGTAGAGGACAGGAATGTGAGTGCTGAGCCCAAGTTGGAGATAAAATTATATATACAAATATTTACAGCAACAATCCTTTCTTGCTAAAATAATATAAAAATTGGACATTATTGCTTTGCTCAACAATATAGCAGAATATTCTGTGTTATCAGGCGCTTATATTAAGTAGTAACAGGTGCTCTTATGGTACAGCAGCTCTCACACAAGAAAATAGGTACTCTTCAGTCATATCGTGATTACATGTGAAAAGAACACTTATTTACATAACCAGTATGAAAAAGTGACAGTGTGTAGCGCTAGGTAATATCGACTTACACCATGAGGAACTTTAGGGATATGGAATATATATATATTCTCCTGAATCTTGGAGGGTATAGGAGATATATATACTGTGGAGAAAATGGAAAAAATATATAGTGCACTCTGTGCAAACAGGCGTAGTGGTAAATCGTATAATAGGAAGCACTCACGTGGTTCAGAGCCTATTATGGATTGGCTCTTAATCACTCTTGCCTTGTGTCCTTTAGGTGACACACACCTTCAACTCCCAATAAGGAATAACCCTCAAAATAAAAGAGAAACAGGGGGAAATCCGCCCTAGTGTTGAAATCCTTAGAGACAACGATATATAAACATATATATGCCTCTTTAATGGATGGAAAATGTACCAAATATAATGATTGCAGATCCCTGGTTTTCCTATGATCTGCAATCATTATATTTGGTACATTTTCCATCCATTAAAGAGGGAAGGAGTCATCCCATAAAAGGACTCATATGCCTTTCTACTTAGAGCCAGGTTACAGGCTCTGGTTCAGGTGAGAAGCAATCTTCACCTGCATATATATGTTTATATATCGTTGTCTCTAAGGATTTCAACACTAGGGCGGATTTCCCCCTGTTTCTCTTTTATTTTGAGGGTTATTCCTTATTGGGAGTTGAAGGTGTGTGTCACCTAAAGGACACAAGGCAAGAGTGATTAAGAGCCAATCCATAATAGGCTCTGAACCACGTGAGTGCTTCCTATTATACGATTTACCACTACGCCTGTTTGCACAGAGTGCACTATATATTTTTTCCATTTTCTCCACAGTATATATATCTCCTATACCCTCCAAGATTCAGGAGAATATATATATATTCCATATCCCTAAAGTTCCTCATGGTGTAAGTCGATATTACCTAGCGCTACACACTGTCACTTTTTCATACTGGTTATGTAAATAAGTGTTCTTTTCACATTATTGCTTTGCTATTTGCACATACAGAAATTAGATTTACAAACAACAAACTGAAGTGAATTTGAATCGCAAAATGTAAGAAAAACTAGTCCAGCCTGATTTTTCCAAATTTTCTCTTAAATTTTGCAATTCAGTTTTCAATTCACTTCATTTTGATGTTCATTGAATCCAACGTGAAGTTCTTTTGGACTTTTCTGATTATTCACGAAACCTGGAATTGAGTAACAGATTTCAAATTTTAAACCAACATAGCCGAACTGGAAAAGAATATATGAGGAAAAACATTATTTTGTTTCAGAGATTTTGGCAAACAATTTGCATTTCTCTTATCACATCTCCACAGTTCTGTTTCCATTAATTAATTTTATAGTATTGCTCCGTGAAGCAGATTTTAAAACTACTGGTCTGTTAAAAGCTGCTCAGCCCTTTTAGGATGACAAGCTCTAAATATGTATTTTTCTTTTAAAGATAAAGATACGGATATCACCGTTTTGGACAATAGTGACGATTTCGGACTTCGAGATACATTAAGTGTTGCGTCAACAGATTCTTTTGTCTCAGCTGCTGAGGTAATTGTTTGTAAGCCTTATGTGGTAATAGTCGAACTACAATAAAGACATTATTAATTGTTTTTCCTTTTTTTTTATGTGGCTGCTATTGTGAATACATGTGTATAAGGGAGTCTTATATTATAAAACAAAATGTTAAATATATATAATAAATAAGCCAAACTAATAATGGAGCAAGATCATTTAGGGATTGAAAAGCTGTTAATTAGTTACCCAATTAATGGGAAAGTTGCTATGGCTGGGGATAGATAAAACACACGTAGAGCCCATTTTTAACACAGCAACAACCTCTGCGGCCCCTTTTGCATCCTGATTGGCTTTTGAATTGTACACTGCATAACCATTCATTTGGTAATGGATAGATCAGGGATAGGCAACCTTTGGCACTCCAGATGTTTTGGACTACACCTACCATGATGCTTTGCCAGCATTATGGCTGTAAAAGCAGTGTGGAAGATGTAGTCCACAACATCTGGAGTACCAAAGGGTGCCTACCTCTGATAGATATTTAATAACATGCATGATAACACATCTATGTTCGGGGTTTCCATTTTCAAGTCTTACTCTAATAGCCAGGCCTTAAAGGTTTCTTAGCACTTCAAGCATAGAAGGTCCATGACACACTCATCAAGGGTGAATTTATACTCGCCAGGGCAACATTTTCACTTGCCAAAGGCCAGTGGAGAGTAGAAAGTGTGAGCCCTGCCAATAACATCATAACAACTGAACATTTAGTAACATATCACTCTGTCGACCTGTCTCAGGTTGTGGTTATTTAGTATCTTCATTCCCCAAAGTTCCAAGACATTTAACCCTTCTAATAAGGTTAATTGAGCTAACGGATCCTTAATTTCACCTCTGTGGCGTTTTGTATAACAATTGTGTCCACAGAACTAACTAGCTTGCACACTGTGACTTTTCTCTGCTAGTTAAAACAGTGGATATTTTAAGGAGGAGTTTGACCACATCCGAGTTCGAACAACACAGCTGGGATTGCATATTTAAATGCTTTAATGTCTTGTTGGTTCTACGTTAATGATAAGTGTTAGAGAGGTAGGAGATCTAACTTGGTTCACAGTCCACTGTGTATGTACGCATGCCTGGAAATTGTTTGTCATTGTCGATACTTCTGTAGAAAGTGTGAGTGGCTACCCCAGAGGCTCACAATCGAGATCAGGAAAAGCAATTTATAATACAGGGATAACCTGACAATCTTGAAAAGGGTTTGCTGGTGAACTGTCAGATATATGAATGTCCATTTAGGCATGGTTGCCAAGGGGAGGAAGGGTGTAGAATATGGTCAGGCCTGACTTTGTCCCTCACAGCAGATTTACATTAACAAAACACATTTGGATCTTTGCAATATTTTGAGATTGTAAGCAGTCCTATAAAAATGTTGCTGTTAACCCCCTCTTTTAAATTAAAGGGTTAGGTAATGTATTTAGGCATAACGACTTGTGATCCAGTTTCCAGCCAAGCCCCAGAGAAGCATTATTACAATGTCTCCCTGACAGTGCAGCCCCAGCACTCACAATGCAGTGCGACACATAGACGATATCACTTCCTTTCCTTCCACATGCTGGATTCCTTGGAATGTTAAAAGAAAGCAATGGCTTTGTCAGAGGAATTCAGCTGTGTGCAACTGTCTGAAGTTCCTAAAATATCTTTTATTTTATTTTTCTTAGGATACCAGTTCTTAAGGGCACACATCGTTTTGTTAATTTTGTTTTTACAGTATAAATTATATTTGTTGGGATCTGGTTTTGATTAGAGCAGTATTAAGTTGTATATTTGGCAGTTCATTGAAAGTGAGTTTCTTTGATTTTGTTCCATCGTATTTCTGGGTCATAACTGTATCCTTTAAACAGTGTTTGTTTGACAGTATTTTTATCACTACTACTCTCATAACTCTGAAGCAGCCTAATATTGAAGACAAACATTGGCAAATGGCAGATCTGAGAGAATGAGAGTCTTATTTTAAAAACGGTTATCAGTGCCAAGAGCTCACATTCATCTGACTGCTGATTGCCCCGATAATTAACTTTCATTTTTGTTTGTGTTATGTCTGTCCTGTGACTTCCATATGTCTGCTGCCTACCCATTTACAAGTTTCTCACTTCCACTTATCTGCCAACTGCCCTGCTACTAGTATCTCACCTCCATTTATCTGCCGCCCGTCTTGTTACTAGTATTTGACTTCCATTTATCTGCCGCCTGTCCTGTTACTAGTATCTCACTTCCATTTGTCTTCAGCCTGCTCTGTTACTACTATCTCACTTCCATTTGTCTTGCGCCTGCCCTGTTAATAGTATCTCATTTCCATTTATCTGCCGTCTGTCCTGTTACTAGTATCTCACTTCCATTTATCTGCCATCTGCCCTGTTACCAGTATCTCACTTACATTTATCTGCCGCCTGCCCTGTTACTAGTATCTCACTTCCATTTGTCTGCCGCCCGTCCTGTTACTAGTATCTCACTTCCATTTATCTGCCGCCTGCCCTGTTACTAGTATCTCACTTCCATTTATCTGCCGTCTGCCCTGTTACCAGTATCTCACTTCCATTTATCTGCCGCCTGCCCTGTTACTAGTATCTGACTTCCATTTATCTGCCGCCTGCCCTGTTACTAGTATCTCACTTCCATTTATCTGCCGTCTGCCCTGTTACCAGTATCTCACTTACATTTATCTGCCGCCTGCCCTGTTACTAGTATCTCACTTCCATTTATCTGCCGCCTGTCCTGTTACTAGTATCTCACTTCCATTTGTCTTCCGCCTGTCCTGTTACTAGTATCTCATTTCCATTTATCTGCCGCCTGTCCTGTTACTAGTATCTCACTTCCATTTATGTGCCGCCTGCCCTGTTACTAGTATCTCACTTCCATTTGTCTTCTGCCCGTCCTGTTACTAGTATCTCATTTCCATTTATCTGCCGCCTGCCCTGTTACTAATATCTCACTTCCATTTATCTGCCGCCTGCCCTGTTACTAGTATCTCACTTCCATTTGTCTTCCGCCCGTCCTGTTACTAGTATCTCATTTCCATTTATCTGCCGTCTGCCCTGTTACTATCTCACTTCCATTTGTCTTGCGCCTGCCCTGTTACTAGTATCTCACTTCTATTTATCTGCCGCCTGCCCTGTTACTAGTATCTCATTTCCATTTATCTGCCGTCTCTCCTGTTACTAGTATCTCACTTCCATTTATCTGCCGCCTGCCCTGTTACTAGTATCTCACTTCCATTTGTCTTGCGCCTGCCCTGTTACTACAGGGAGTGCAGAATTATTAGGCAAGTTGTATTTTTGAGGATTAATTTTATTATTGAACAACAACCATGTTCTCAATGAACCCAAAAAACTTATTAATATCAAAGCTGAATATTTTTGGAAGTAGTTTTTAGTTTGTTTTTAGTTTTAGCTATGTTAGGGGGATATCTGTGTGTGCAGGTGACTATTACTGTGCATAATTATTAGGCAACTTAACAAAAAACAAATATATACCCATTTCAATTATTTATTATTACCAGTGAAACCAATATAACATCTCAACATTCACAAATATACATTTCTGACATTCAAAAACAAAACAAAAACAAATCAGTGACCAATATAGCCACCTTTCTTTGCAAGGACACTCAAAAGCCTGCCATCCATGGATTCTGTCAGTGTTTTGATCTGTTCACCATCAACATTGCGTGCAGCAGCAACCACAGCCTCCCAGACACTGTTCAGAGAGGTGTACTGTTTTCCCTCCTTGTAAATCTCACATTTGATGATGGACCACAGGTTCTCAATGGGGTTCAGATCAGGTGAACAAGGAGGCCATGTCATTAGATTTTCTTCTTTTATACCCTTTCTTGCCAGCCACGCTGTGGAGTACTTGGACGCGTGTGATGGAGCATTGTCCTGCATGAAAATCATGTTTTTCTTGAAGGATG